GGGCCGCCGGGGGCTGCCCCGACCGCCCTGGCGCGGCGGCCTGGCACACCGGGCCACTCGGTTGTACCGTAGCGCTGTCTCAACAATAAAATGAATCTGTCCCTCACGGCTGCGTTTCCATTGTGTTAGCTGGCCGTAGGCGTGCTGGGAGCGCGGCTGTGCAGCCGCAGGCAGCGGGATGCAGCAGGCGGCCCCCCCGCCACAGCGCAGCGCTGGAGCGGGCACGGAGGCAGCGCTCGGCCGGGCTCCGGGGGGGCCTTTGGGCTTGCTGGGGCCGTGAGAAACCCCCATTCCTTCCTCCAGCCCCCCCAAAATAGGGGAAATGACATTGGGGGTGGTTAATTATCCTCAGTGGAATGCTGAGCATTGTTTAAAGTATGGTTGACATCTGTTCGTTTTTGTCAGACGCGTTCTTGCTCGGTAAATTCTGTGCTCTCGCAAACTGAGAGAGCTGGAACGTTTTGGTATTGAACATAAAAATAAATTGTGTAATTGTCACCAGCCAATTAATTCAGAAATGCTAAAGCAGAAATGGGGAGAGGGGTGTTGCAGTTCTCAAGACCATTTTATCCCTAAATGTGTAGAAATTTAAGCTTGATAGCTCATGTTTTCATTGAAGTGTTATTCTGTGGTTTTGTTGTTTGTGGTTTTTTTCTCTTCAAGTCCCTCTGTCAGGTGGAAATTGAGACACTGATCTCTTCTGCTAAACTTGTAGATGATGGATAAGGACTAACTTTATTCTCTTCTCACTCAGAAGAACTGCAGAAAAAAGTGTTGTTTCAACACTGAATCAATATCTCTCAGGTCATACAGTAAAAATACCTTTTTTATTTTTCCCCCTTTTTCTTTTCTTTGGGGACTGTAATGCTAGGCCTCATAGGACTGTTTCTTCTTTTCCAGCATGCACTAGCTGTAAGTTCCTATGCTGCTTTAGTGTGTTTGAAGGAAACTTATGTCTTTCTTTTATTTATTAGCTAAATAGTGGGTCCCCAAGGAGCACCAAAGACAGCAGTTTGGAAGTATTCCCAGTAGCTGTCAGTGGACGTAGATGTGTTTTGTGGAGGGGTGTTAGCTATGAGCCTCAGTTACACCCTGAGGTTTTTATGGGAGACTGTGTGCCAGTAAGTCCTTATCAGAAATATCAAGAGAGCCACACTGAGCATTGC